ATAATTTAAATAATTTAATTGGCCGGAATTAAATTATTTGAATTATTTAAATTATTTAAATTATTTAAATAATTTAAATGGTCGGAAATTCGGCCTCAGGCGACTCCGGCCCGCAGCCTGGATTTGGGAGCATTAAAATAATTTTAATAATTTAAATAATTTAAATAATTTAAATAATTTAATTGGGCCGAATTAAACTATTTAAATTATTTAAATCCTCCGGCCTCTTTAAACAATTTAAATAATTTAAATAATTTAAATAATTTAATTGCGCGGAATTAAATTATTTAAATTATTTAAATCCCCCGGCCTCCTTAATCAATTTAAACAATTTAAATAATTTAATTCGCCTGAATTAAATTATTTAAATTATTTAAATCCCCGGGCCTCTTTCAACTATTTAAATAATTTAAATAATTTAATTGGTCTCAATTAAATCATTTAAATTATTTAAATCACCCGACTTATTTAAATAATTAAATGGGTTGTAGTTTTTATTTAAATTATTTAAATAATTTAAATTATTTAAATAATTATCAGGTAAATAGAAAAGAAGAGAGGTTAAATAGACCCGAAAGGTTGCTCTTTCATATATGTATGTATATATATATATGCTACCCCCCCCTCCCGGCGCCCAGGCGTTACGGCAAAAGTTAGCTTGTTTTGCATCGCATTCACGAACACGCGCCAGACGAACGTTACAAGGACCAGATGGGCGAAAGCGGCGGCGAGGGTGGTTTTACTACATCGAACTAACTAAATACCATCCTGCGCGTAGTTCATACCGAATTTGAGTAAATGATGCTGTTAACCGCCTCGAAGTCGTCAATTCACTGAAGATAATGAATCAATAGTGAAAAGAGCGAGTGTTTTGACTAATGTGTTACATGAAGTAAAACATGCTCATGCGGAAACCTGGTCTAGTTTTGCTTCACTGAAGCATGAATTACATTAGCCAAAACATGTTCATTGTTTTCGTTCACAAACACAGGACTTAGTTTAACCAAGGGTGTTTGCTTCTTGAAATTCACTTCATTGAAGTAACTAATAAAAACAAGCACATAGATTAAATGAACTTAGTTAACGTCGTAACATCAATGGCTGAATGAATTTACCCAAGGGTGAAGCACTTGCATTGGAACAAATAGACCGTTAATTCAATGAGCTCACTGGAAAACAGTACTTCAATCACGATCCAATCATGAAGTTGAAACCCAAAACAATCGAAACTCTCACACAGGTTTTGCCGTAGCGGTATCGGCTTGCATTCCTCCCTTGATCCAAATTGGCCGCAAGGATGCGGCTGGCTGCATTCCGCAGCGAGCTGCACTCCAAGTCCTGGCTTGATCTTCACACGGGGAGGAGAGCGAAAACATTGCGCGGCGCCACTTCTTGGCGCTCCCCTGAAATATAGTTTACGCAACTTGTAGATGAAAATAACACGCTTTGCCAAGAAAGAGCCGGGCGATTGGCTGCCCCCACTGGTCAGTTGTCTAGGCGTGCGCGTATTTAAACAGAAACTATCTAGCACGAAAGCAAAAAGATTTAGGAAGTTAAACCTAGCAGCAGACCGGCGTGAACCTGCTGCTTTATGGATTTCTACACAAAGCAAGAGACATAAAACAAATACATTGCCTGCATCTTGGACACACGCTCGCCACAATACGTGTGTCCGCATGGGACGAGAGCCGTCGGGCCTGTGATCAAAAAGCTGCAACTAACTGTTTAACGCTGGTATGTGAGTTGAAATATGAAGCCTCACTCTCTACATGTTAAATGTTCTTGCCAGAGAGGGCGAGAAAACAATACACAAACAAAAGGAAGGGGGAGAGGGTCTGCCGATAACAGCAGACCCTGTTCAGCCTGCCGATAGCAGCAGACTGCTTTCCAGATATGCCGATATCAGCACATCCGGTTGAGATAACACTGGCTTCACTTGGCTTCGAAATAAGGCCGGCGCTGAAACATGAAGTTGTCATCGAGGTATAACATAAACCTGCGAGCATGAAGTGGTTGCCTGAGCATTCGAAAAGAATGTATATATACATATATATATATATATATATATTTTCATAGCATGTATTTAAGTACGTATTCAAAATACTATGTCGCTACATGTTTCTATACTGAATAAACGGACAATTAAAACAATACAATCAATCCAACCAGAAGACCTAAATCATGTAAAGATCTAAATAGATTACTTAAATTGTTAAAGTTATTTTCGGCGCCAGTGAATTTAAATAGTTTAATAAACTAAAAATAGATGATTAGTTTTTTTAAAAAAAATTTTCGGTGCCCGAGACTTTGAACCATTTAAAAAATCTAAATAAGTGATTTGAATTATTTAAATTATTTTCGGTGTTCGAGAATATACATCAGTTAAATAATTTAAATGAGTGATTTAAATTATTCCAACTATTTTCGGTGTCCGAGAATCGAAATAGTTTAAATATATTGGGTTTTCTCAGAAGCCAGACCGTTTAAATACTTTAATGAGTTTAAATAACTTAAATAATTTGAATAATTTAAATAGGTGGTTTACTTTATTTTGAATTATTTTCCGGGCCGGAGAATTTAAATAGTTTAAATAGGTGGTTCAAAGTATTGAAATTATTTCGGGGCTGGAGAATTTACATCATTTAAACAATTTATAAATATGGGGTTTTCTCAGAAGCCAGACCGTTTAAATAATTCAACAAAATTTCAACAAGTTGCACAGTTTAAATAGTTCAAATAGTTTGAACAGATGATTTAAATGATCTAAAACATTTCCGGTGCCCGAGAACTTAAATCATTTAAAGAATTCTAAGAATTTCAATAGATGATTTAACATGTTTAAATTCTCGAGCCCAGAAAATAAATTAAATAATTGAAACAATTTATTTAAGTCATTTTGATGATTTACATGGTCTGGCTTCTGAGAAAACCCAATATATTTAAATTAGATAAAAAAAAATAAATTCTCGGACCCCGAGATTAAATTCAAATACTTTAAATCACCTATATAAGTTAATTAAATTCTCGCGCCCGGAAAAAATTTGAATAATCTGAATCATCTATTTAGATCATTTACATTATTTAAATGGTCTGGCTTCTGAGAAACCTCAAATATTTAAATTACTCAAAATATTGTCGGGGGTCCGAGAATTTAAATAATTTATATCACCTATTGAAATTATTGAAATTATACAAATTGTTTAAATTCGCGCGGCCCGAAAATAATTTGTATAATTTAAATTTAAATGATTTATTTAGTTTTTTTAAATTTGTTTTCGGGACCCGTGAATGTAATTGTTTAAATAATTTACATAAGTGATTTAAATTATTTGAATTAGTTTCGGGGCCCGTGAATTTTTATAATTTAAGTATTTTAATTCTTCAAAACATTCTCTATATATATGTGGAGAAAAACAGGTAGCAACATAGTACATATAAGTCCTTCTCTCATATATATATATATCGACATATACATATGTACATATATAGCTGAGCCCCCTCCCCCCCCAAGACCTACCTCTCGCAAAGAATCAAAATCGTTTGACGTTTTCGTATTCTGAAGTCTGGCGGGGTTAAACTTACTAACTAAACAAACGGACTTCAATTTTCGCCGTTTAACAAGACTTCATGAGATCATACAACTCTTCAGTTTGGCTCCGAGTCACAATGGTTTAAAGAAGCAGAAGATACAGTCTTCAAATTTCTGCCAATTACCACACGGGCCACGTCTCTCTGAGTTACACAAAGACATGGTCTGGGGCGCCTGTGGAGATTTCTGCCGTAAGAAAAACCGAAATGTATGACAAAACCACGGATGACACAGTATCCCCTTGTCGAGATCGCCTTTGTGCGGTGCCTGCTTCCGAACGGAAAAATTGCAAATCATGAAGCCTTTGATGGGTACTGAAAATGCAAGGGCTGATTGCGCTACTTAAGCGGCCGGCTTTAAATTCCTTTGCGTTACAATAGTACTACTCAAAAAATGCAGTCGATATTAGATACACTAAGAATCTCTGGACTGTCACGGGTACCATGTTGGACACACTGTTTAAGCTTCTTTGAGGGGTGACAGCTCATGCAGACTCGAGATTTTACACTGTGCTTCGGATATGGCGGAGATGATAAAGTGCACGTCCGTATGTGTAGGGATTTGGCAGATGTAAGGATGTTGCCATGAACACGTGGCAACTATTCATGCAAACTGTAAAACACAACGCAATGCGCAATATGTACACGTAATATTAAAGTCATGTACCATAATATCGCAGCATCGCGAACCGGAATCCGGTCAGCCAAGTAAAGCCGTGTCGTATAAAATATTTATGCTGGCAGACGCAAGCATACTTATGACTGATACCAAAATTTCACGGAAATTTCGGTGTTTTCAGTAGGCCTCAAGTAGAGGCAAGAACAAACACATACATGCAAAAAACAAAACGCATATGAGAGGCAGGGTCTTGGCGAGGGGAGGTGACCCCATACATATATATATATATACATCTATATAAAATTCTAGGAACACAAACGCAAACAACCCCAAAAGCTAAGATCCTGACTCCACCAGCCTCTTGAGTTCAGCGACTGTTGTCTCAGGCCGTAGGTCGAAGAGCAAACGCCTTGCTGACATGAAGCCGAATCAAGCAGCAAAGGCAGCAGAGCAACGTCGCTGAAGGAACCTCCCCGCCTCTCTCCGTACCGTTTGAGCTTTCTTTGTCCGCTCACAGCTTCCCAGACTGCTGTGTCCAGGGATGCCGGCCTCAGTGATACTAGAAGTGCACGCCGCAATCTAGTCTTTGCTTATGATTGTTAGTCCCGCTTAGCACCACAAGCAGCAACTTGCGCTAAGCGTGCCCTGCCAGACACAGTAACAAGCAGGCAAGGTCTCAGTTGCAGGCACCACCACCAGCATTTCGAAGCCCTGACCATACACAAGGGTAGCAAACAGCGCATTGAAGGTACAGGTGCTATTCTCTGACCTTCCTTTACATTCCTACTAGGAGCTAGTACTCCTCTGTCATCCTCTGTCCAGCTGGAGCCTGCAGCATGGGCTTCATGACAAACTTTGGAGGCCAATTCTCCTTGGCTCAGCCGTTGCAGAGCTGAAAGGCTCTAATACAGCTTGTCAACAACATGTCACCCACACGGAGCACCTTCAGAAGTTTCTTGAGCAAAGCGATCTCCAAGATGATTTGAGGGTTGTCCAAAATTCCTGTGCCCCAGTTTTGGGCCTTGGGGGGGCTTGCGGTCGGTTGCTCAGTCCCCTGCACACTTGCTTTCCGCGATGTCAAGTCATGGTGTGGCTTCCAACACATGATTTTTAAGACCTTGCGCGATCTTGCTCAGACCTTGCTTTGCACATTTCATCGTCTTGTGGTTCAGCGCCTTGTAAAAGCAAAGCAAAAGTTCTTGGACGGCACAACTGACGGCACCCATTTGCTGAGGCTGCGTCTAGGCCAAAGCCTGACCACTGCGCGAAGCACTCCCCAAGCTTCGTCGCATCCTGTCAAACGAGTGGGCTCAGCAAACAAATAGTGGCAACTGCGGCAACTGGTTCACGGGACCCGAAGTTCATGTGGAGGAAGAAAGATTCGTGGTGACTCGCAAGCCAGGCCATCCTGGCCGAGAAAGCCATGACCGTCATGACCTCTGCGTTGATAATCCAACATGCAAAGAGTTTGTGACCGTTCCGTGGTTTGATGTCGCTTGGTCTGTCCTCCAGGAGCCTGTCCTTGAGGCTCCGGACCGTGTCCCGGCCCCGGAAGCCTTCGAAAACAACCTCTCGGAAAGCAACGATCGCTCCAAAGCTTCTATAAGCTTCTATAGGATCCCACGCAGCAACAGCTGAATCAGGTTCTGGTATCGCACGGACTTAGTCCGTCAATATTCAGCACATGAAGAGTCATCGAACCACGTGCAGGCCAAGTTCAGTGCATCAAGATTTGTAGACAACTGCCGGCTGGTCAATGGTCCAACAACTCTGTAATCTCCCCTGCACCCTCAACCCCAAATTGACCCCGATGACATTTCAGGTGCCAATGCCTGTCTCTCGAACTCCGTGGACTCATCTATCGTCAAGTCAGGCGTTGACCCCTGACATGTTCAAGCGCTGCTATACAGTAATCAGACATGTGGATAGCGCAGGATGAGGACCAAAACCTCAAGCCTCACATCTTCTATCACTCTGCGTCCAACGGCGAGGACAGTGAAGCACTACTCACTCCCGAATCCATCGTATGCATCAAGAGTCATCCTGCCATTTCTGACTCTCCCTCGTTGCATAACAGGTTGCACAGTGGTAGCTGAGAGCAGCACTAAGATCCTGACCTGAATGAACAGCAAGAACCGTGAATGATGCGTAGCGATGGCTGCTGACATGGAGCCGCCTGTCTGAAAGCCTTCTGATGTACATTGCATGTCTACTTGCCACTAGTTGGACATGTCCGGAAAACAGGTGATAACATCACGGCGTGCTACTTTGCATGTCCGTTGAGGCACCATGCACGCTAAGCTGATAGCGGAGAAAGCAGGCAGAAACTCCTTCTGCTTGGCTACATCTGCAGCGGCTTCGTCAATGAGCCTGAACAGAATGAGTATCACTCGCAAAGCTGTCGCGAACGATCTTGCTCAACCGCAATCTGCAAACTGCCTAATTCCCATATCCAGGAACAGCATTCATGTAAAACTTCACAAGACATGGTCGACGTTGTTTGCACCTCTTCCCAGGGTCCAATTTTGCCTGGTAGGAGGGGCGCCCCTCCCTGGCCTCGGCATCCAGTCTTGTCTAGATATATGTTTTGAGGACTTTGAACAAGACCCAAATTAACTTCCCGTTCATGTGCTACCGAACAAGCTCCATGCGTCAGTCAACGCTTGTGCATAAAACTACGAAGCGCACCCAAATACGCTGGAGTGTCCGATCTGTTCGGAGAAGTGTCCTCATTTCCAGCAGCAATGCGACAAACACCAATGCGTCGTGCTCCAGTTGAGGTCAAAGTTCTTTCAGAATTGATCTCTACCAAAGATGTCAGGAAAAGATAGTAGTGCTTCAGCACAGTACGGGGACATGTTTGGAAGTCCACTGAGCTGCGTGCTCTGTAGGCTCTTGTTTCTGTAGCCGCTTGCGGAACCTGAGCGTTGAGTTGGGAGGCTTGCTAAAAGGTGCTCGCAGTCAACAGAGTCAATCGGCAATGCAAGCTTCAGGTTGACTAACTCCTTCATGTCATCGGCATCATGCAGATTTGATCCTGTTGTTGGCATCGGACCAAGTTTGAATCAGCATGTTGCAACCCAGAGGATGAAGCCTTTCGTGAGCTCAGCCAGTGACTCAAGGCTTAAGCCATTGTACTGGCTTCCATCCTTAGAGGAGATGTGATAACCATGGGAAGGTCGTCGCGTGAAGCACTCTTGACCTTGCAATGCTGTATCACGGTATCCCCTTCCGAGGGTCCGCCTCCGGCACAACCTTCTGGCGTTTGCCCGGCTGCGACTAAGGACTCGGCAAAGATCGCCATCGTGAGCACCACTGCTCATCACCGTGACGACATGGCCGAACTGTGTTTAGGGTTTAGGGTACTTTCTCGGCTGTCGGGATCTTCCGTTGAAGGCGCTTGTTTCGTCTCAAGGCGTGCAATTTTGCATTGATTTGGGAAGACTGAAAACTGCAACCCAAACGCCTCAATCGGAGATTCATGACCATGTGCCAAGATGTTTCGAAAATTTGCACCCCGATCTCATGACATGGCCTCAATCCGCGAGCATTTAGCGCAACATTACATTTTGGACCATGCTTGCATGGACATCTTACATGTTGGAAGCACGCGCAGCTGCGCTAAACGCTGCAGCGCTGTGCGCACATAAATCTCCAATACGCCTCCGGCGTTCATGGATATAGGTTACAAACAAACTCTGCACAGATTGCTACTGGGCAGGCACCAAGCTTGAGCACACCGGTGCATCACATTAAACATGAGATCAGCTCCGCAAGCAGCTGGCAGCTCACGCAAAAGGTCTCCAACGACCGCCCTTCTTTAGGACAGAGTGAGACGAAGAACCTCAGTTGCTGCAGGTCCTGGTGCAGATATCTGTAAACTCAGTCCAATGCACTCTAAACTCTAGACGATAGACTCTAAACTCAAAATTTCACTCTACTCGCCCAAGTAAAGGTGCACAAGTCCAAGGAAAAAGCATCTGCGCATCTGCCTTCCCTTCACCGCCCTTTCAGCCGAAGCCAATGGTCGACTCTTAAGTTTACACACAGGGCCCACGGGTTCCAGCGTCAGGGGAGCCCATGGGCCCGCATTGTGCAGGACGATTTAGGCATGTCGGTCGTCAGGACCAATCGGCAGCCAACACAAGCTTTCCCTCAATGTCTTGATGCATCAACTGAGGCTTCGACGAATGTGAGCATCAGCACCTCTCGCCAACCTCGGGAAGTCATTGGTGCAGGAAGTCTACTGTTAATTACTGTTACGTGTAACTACGGACTGAAAATGACTGAAAACAACCACCGCAACATGCACAAGCGTAAGTCCTCCGCGTCCTGGTCAGGTACGACGCAAATTGGGGGCTTCCGCCGTGCTTGCAACGGAAAGATGGCTTTCGCGGTGGCTCGTCGCAGTGACAAACTGTAACACCTAGTGCCTAGTACTTCCAGCCCTTGCGCCATTCCTTGCGTGCGCCTGGTTTTTGACAGGTTTTGCAAGGATTGTCGGGTAATTTGCTTCAATCATCCAATTCATCCACCTTAGCCTTGCGGCTCCTGGAGAGCCCCCAGCACGGGAAGACAGTCAGCATGGGAACTCCTTCTTCCTAATAGAATTTTGTGGGGGTAATTAGGGGGCGAGGGAGGGGATTGAATCTTGGGCGGGAAGAGAATACACGATGCGCACAGCACTCCCAAGCCGCCGACAATCTCTGACTTGTGGCTCTCAATCTCTGCCTCGCTGCTTTCCTGTTCGGAAGGTTGTCGGTCTAGGGTTTTAACGGGTTTTTCATGGGTGTTAGGGTTCAACTAGCCTAGCTATGAACAAACTGATGAGATGAGATAAGATGAGATGAATTCTCCTCTTCCATCTCGCTCCGGATTTAAAGTTGCTTCCAACAAGCCTTTGAGCCCCGTGCCTCTCTGGCGGCAAGGCTAGGCAAATCTTGGGAATTAATGCCCTCCGGCACCTGGCAGCCAGAATTCGGCGTGTGCAAAATAACAGCAAAGAACAGATGTGAGTCATCTGCCAAGCGATCTCACACCAGGTTGTGTGAAATTGTCACCATCACAGCTCGGTGTGGGTTTGACCACTCCCCAGCGGCCTTCCAAGTTGGGCTACTTGGCGGAGACAGCAAGCTGCCTGAACACAGACTTCGGAATCAGTAAGCTCATGCGTGGTGCTGTTGTTGCATGGGTGGACAACTAGCAGTAACTAGCACGAACGAGACAAAGCCACCTGCGTGGAGCATTACAAGTATCAGGTGGTTCTCATCAGATCCGGCATTGTCATGGCAAGTTGGAATCCGAGCTGGCGACGCACCACCGTGTTTTTGAATCCTCGAAGATAAGGATTGTAGTAGGGCTCCTGCCCAAAAGCCCATGTCTTTGTGACACCAACGTTAAGCAAACCGCATTCCTGACACAACTGTTACTCTTGCTTCTGTATTCGCCGACAACAGCATCAGCAGCAACAGCAACAACAAGGTTTCAGCCGCAGCCCAAAACACAACCAAACACCGCGGCCATGGCCCGTCAATTGCGATGCTCCCTGGAAACTTGGCCCGTCAATTCTGCGGAGCCTACCCAGAGCCTTGGCCTGAATGCTTTTTTGGAAGGCCCATTCTCAACCACCCGGCATGAGCATTCAATCCCAGGCCAAATCCAGGCTTGCAAAAACCCGTCTCGTTACTCACAGGCGATAGGCCAGGCACTGAACCCTGGCCAATACAGACAACCGTCCCGTCATTCGCGGGCCTGCCCCCTCTGCTTATTAACCAACAACAATAATAACAACAAGTACTACTACTACTACTACTACTACTACTACTACTACTACTACTACTACTACTACTACTACTACTACTACTACTATTACTAGTGCTGCTGCATCAGGAAAACATCCGTTAAAGAAAATGAGGGCTTCGGCCGTAAGCTGAAGGGAAAAACAAAGCGCGCTATGCTAAATTACGAGATCCCGGGTACCCTCACTTTGTGCCCCGGCTGGGAGCTGGTTTTGAATTGCACCTCATCGCTCGGGGCTGAAGCTTCCTCTAAAAACGCCAAACCCTGAACCCTCCTGCCCTCAACTACTCTCAGCTTCAATCCTCAACCCTCAAACCCCTGAACCTCAACCCTCAACTTTTCAGAATGCTCTCAGCTCTGCTTCTTCTTCTTCTTCTTCTGCTTCTTCTTCTTCTTCTGTGCTTTTATCGTCCTTCCTTCCTTCCTTCCCTTCCTTCCTTCCTTTGCACTTGGCCCCCGAAGGGGCCGCCCCAAGGGCCGTGCTCAAGCGATCCAGTCTGTGTGCGAGAATGTGCATGGCTTGGTGGGCGTCCTTTTTCTCTCTCTCACTCTCTCACTCTCACTCTCACTTCTTCTTCTTCTTCTTCTTCTTCTTCTTCTTCTTCTTCTTCTTCTTCTTCTTCTTCTTCTCCTCGCTTAAGAGCTCTCGCTCTCTCTCTCTGGCTCTGCCCTGGAATGGTTTCGGGTTTGCGCAGGTCTGGAACCCCAAGCCGGGCCCAAATGGAAGTAAGAAACTGGGGGAGCTCCTTGTTTCAAATTTCCATATTTGAGCCCCCTGGATTCCTTTATTTGCTGTTGGGCCTCCTGGGCTGGTAGGGTGCTTGTTGGGATGCGTTTGGGCAGGCCTGGAACCCCAACTCCTGCCAGACTCAAATGGAAACCAAGGCAAAAGAAAATAGGCTCCTGTTTCTGTTTTTATCTTGGGCTTGGTGGGGGTCCCTACCCCACCCAGACTCTGCCAGACCTGCACAAACCCTCCAAATTCAATTGCCTCCGAGATAGATGAAGAAATCTAGCCACCTCAGTCTCAATTTAGTTTTGGCTTGGGTCTGCAATGAAGAGGTTAAGAAATGAGAGATTCGCGAAGAAATTTAGGGTACCGTTTGTGCAGGGTTGTATTTCTGATGAAAATGCCCTGATCTAGAACTTATCAAGCCTGGTCTCCGTCTTAGTGCTACTACTGCTACACCACCACAACGACCACAACTCCCGCAAGAACCTCGGCACGGTCATGGGCGACATGGTCCACAAGCACTTCTGTCCTCGAAGGCTCGCTTGCCTGGAAGAGTGTTTACCGCCTTTTCGGAATGAAAGAGGTCCGAAAGATCTTCGTCGTCCTGCGCGGCCCACAGTTGCATGTCCCACGCACAAACGCAGGACCGGTAAAAAACACGCCGGACGTCTACGAATGCCGAGAGCAACGCGGAAGAAGGGTCCTCCTCCTCTTCTGTAAAGTTGCCAGCCACTTCGTTCATGGAGAACACGAATTCTCGGCCGTAAACCCTGTGAGCGCAACTTCACCAGGAAGAGTGGCAGACTGCAGCTACATCCTGTATAGTATGCTATTGAGCAAACTCTGCCGGGGTGGCTTCAAGAGCTCCATATCAGCGCTGAAAGACTGCGCGACATCGTGGAACCTCAGCTAGGAATTGGGATCATGCTGGACAATGGAATCCATGCGAAAGCTGCGGATTCCTGCGACGATTTGCGACTCTGTGAGTAGCTTGACTTGCAGTACTCGCGCTCAGTCGAAACCACATGCACAACTTGGGCAAAGGTCACCACTGCTTGGCATCCATGGCGATGACTGTTGACTCATTGCGCGCATACATCCTCTGAGCTGTCTGCAAGAGATCACAAACGGATCTGTATGAAGCAGTCCCTCGCTCTTCAGTTTGCCATGCTTTCCCAGTGATTACATGCCAGTCCTCCCTTGATGAACCCAAGGAGTCCAGAGGACTGCCTGCTCAGAATCAGAGCCGAAGTGCAAGGACAGAGTTAGACCTCGCTCTTGCCCAGCCTCGCAGAAACACATTTTCTTGTTGATGATGTGGGGCAATGTCTCCTTTCGCTTCGTATGCAAAGGCAACGCACTTCGGAATCATTCCACGCTGCGACTCTGATCTAGCGAACTGTTCAGCTGCCAAGATTTCGCTCAGAACCTCCTCTCGATGCACCTCTTCAATCCCCTTGGTCGGATGCCTTCGAAAAGAAATACTCCAACACGCCCACGGTCACAAAGTACCTCTCGACTTGGCTGCACGAAAACATGCTAACAATTGCATGTAAGTATTTCGGTAATGGTACATGCAGCAAATAGTGAAGGCTTGCATCAGCTCCAGGCACGCTGTTTCAAAAGAAGCCCCATCAACACACTGACATACACGAAAACGAAATCACCCTCGAGCACATCTAAGCTCAACGCATCGCGCTGCAGACCTGCCCTGGGCCGAAGATCATCTCTCCCTTGTCCAGGACAGACTCCTTCAGTGGGTACACACGACGACTGTTGGTGGTAGGTGCACACTCATGATGGAGTCGGGATGTAGTGACCAATAGCCCTTCATGTTGACTCTACGCTTCCGACTCTCCACTGTCAAATCCCTGCGAGCAGGGCGTCAAAGCCGCTTGAGCCGCTGAAAGATGTGTGCCTTGAGGGCGTTCGAGCAGATCTTCTGCATCAAGCCGACACTGTTGTCACCTCATGCCACGCAGATGCGTAGAGCTATAATGAATATAGAGATACAGTCTGCTCTCCTCGGCTGCAGCAGGCAACGTGCATCAGATGCCCCATGAAACTCAAGATTTTGATACTTCCTGATTGTTTCTTCCAAAGACATGACTTGCACGTTGGTTCGATCTGCGTCTAAGCTCTTGGCTCAGGGACTGAAAGAGGGGATGGATCTCAGCTGTGCATCCCTATCACCAACACAACCAGACAGAGCTGCAATTCAAGCTCACAGCATGCCCCTCTCTGCAAAACAACCGCAGGCATGAGGTCGGAGCAACCAAGTGCTTTTCGTAGATCTCCAGATTGACTTCCTCAACACACCGGCAGCAACTGCACACCACTATGAGTTGCCTCCGCACGAGGAAGTACCGGCTCCCTTCACCACACTCCCCGAAAGCCAGGCTCCTTGGTCAACATCTGTGGAAGCATGGCCATGATCTTGACCTCGCTCAACTTGTGGGCTATGCCGTCTACATAATTATTGCACACGTCGCTTCCTACTGACTCCTACCCAGTAGCAACTTCTATGTATGCATGCATGCCAACATGGACGCATAAACATGTACGGACACAAAAAAGTTGTCCTTAAATACCTTTTGCATTTTCTTGGGCCCTGATTGTCAGCGTGCAGTTCCGTTTAAGCACCAAACCCTTTGCCAGTACCCCAGTCGTAGGATTTGACAAACGACACCGGCTGCACTACTCCGGTCGGACCCGGAACCCTGAACTTGAAGTTCAAAATCAACGTCCGCAAGCCAATAGCAACCACTTTGTGAAGCAAACATGCTCGTGCATCTGGGATCGCCAAAATCATTAAAATCACTTCCGAAGCTGTATCCTGTCAGCCGCGCCGTTGCAATCAAATACGAGCAGAAAGCTCGCTCTGACTCTAGTGTGTGAGATAGATGCACGCTTGTCTCTTCGGCTATGGGCATCTACCAGCCAGGTACCAAAAGCAAGGCGTTGCATGTCTGACTTCCAGCTCCTCCTCCCGGCTTAATGGGCAATGCGCAGACAACATCGCGACGCATACCACGTCCGACGCCTGTAGACTGAGCCGCGCCGATCCGAGAACGCGAGTTATTTGACAACCCAACCTGCGTGCTCCTGGGCACGAGCACGGACCGAACTTGGATGTTTAGCATTTGCTTAGCTTCGTGCACACGTTCTCCATGCGAAGGGGTAGTCTCAGTAGTCTCTGCGAACTGCTGCTGCAAGTGCTACCCCACTTTGCTGCACTCTTGCCGCGCGTAGACACAATCAAACGTGCACCCACATAGCCGATAACAGGTCCATAGTGGACTGAACTATGAACGTAGATAATCCTTAAGACTTCTTGATGCTTACAGAGCGAAGCCGGAATGCGTAGCATGTCCCATATGGTTTATCAGAGTGCCCTAGGGCTACCTGATACCCATCAGCACTGGCTTACCATGAGAAATAGTCTCGCAGTGCTGAACGATGACATTTTGCTTCTGCAAATTTCACAGAAAAAGTTGGGCACCCAACAGATTGACAAAGAATGGATACACTTCCGTGCGGCAGATACAGACACACGCATCTCATGCGCACCAGGCCAGTGGATAAGAACATGCACGATTTGCTGTCCAGGAGTTGACACAGGCCCAAGGGAGATGCCTGCCCCACGTCCACCTTCTGGTACTTGGGTTTGACAATCGACTCCGTGTATCTCAAGACCCTGCCAGGGCATTAAGATTGCAGCAAAAACTGTACCCCGTTTTGCCTAATCTGCCAATCTCGCAGCAGTGGCTTCCTTCAGCCCGCGATGTGCTATGCTTCAACTGTCGCACCTGCTCGTAAGTTGGGCAGAGATCTTCTGCTCGCGGAAGTAGCGACGCAAAGTCCAAATCTGGTGCTTGTAGACCCTGCAAACGCGAAGAACTTGAGATCGGGGCCACGAAAGCTAGGCCATGATTTACCGTCGTGCGCCAGGTTATGCACGACTCTTGGGTGGTTGGGGGGGGAGGGGGGTCCATTTCGGGTTGCTGCAGCTCAACCCGATCTTGTGGTTCAGCATGGTCAATGAACATAGTGAACAAGTCTGAGATTTTTTTCCAGCACATCATGCTTTTGCTATGTCACCGTAGTTCCGTCAGCAGCACTTGGGATCTGACGCATTGATGTCTTTGAGGTTGTTGGTCGCCGCAGTGATGGAGCTCACTGTAGAAGAGAAGACCACCATTCCAAGAACCAGCACCTTAATCTGGTGCATCGTTGCAGGTGTCTTTGTCGGCCCTTAACCCTAAACTTGAACCCGAATTGCCCGAAACCATCCAACCTCGAGAGCGAACTGAAGCTAGGCTGGCGGCAATCACGCTGTATAGGCGCTCGATGCCTCCGAATCACCGCAACTAAAATAGATTCTATCGACCACGCACGTGCCCAGTGACTTGCTTCTACATAAAATTACTGATTCAATGTGTTGTGATTGCGGTATGAACCTTAATTGGTTGTTGCAGTACAATTTTCTAAAGTGGTGCGACTCATGCGTTTCCCTTGACCACTGTTCCGAACCACTCCGTCCGAGCAGAAGTCCCTGGTGCTTTGGCTCAAATCAAAACCACCATGGGTGTTTGTCGTGGGCACTCCGACTTTGAGTCGCAGCAAGCAGAGCAGATTCGAGAAAGAATTGAGGAGGTTACTTCAAGCATGTTCAATAAAGCAGGGGGGGGACAATATTGATTCCATCAATAATACATTTGGGGTACACCTGAAGATTATACTTGATTATACAAGCTCTTGAGCTAAAGATCGCGATTTGGGCATGAGCCCGGAACCATTTCTTCTTTTCGGGAATCCCGGCCAGATTTCGGTTTTTTAATCTCCATAACCTCAATTTTAACTCATCTTCAATCTTAAATTATCTTTGGGCGACACTGAGAGATTTTGAAATGCAGATATTCTAAAGAACATGTTTTATTTCTTCTTTTGGATAACTACATGGGAGGCTTGTGCAGAATTATGGAGATAGAATTTTGTGGATCAGAAAGAATCTAAGAAAAAGAAGTATTGAATATCGAAATATAAACCATTTTTGGGGAACATTTTTTTCGGAAATTATTTCTGAAAAGGCTTTTTGGCGAGTATTTATTGGCGATTTATTTGAAGAATTGAGGAAGGATGAAGGACACTTCCGGGAAGTCCCGTTTAAATTCTACAAATGTATACTTTTGCTGAAAATGGGGACAAAAGGGTTGCTCACTTTGTTCTCTAAGTTTTCTGTCCAGTATCAGCAGAAACCTCCTGGCTGCAAACAAGTGAATGGGACTTCCCTGACAATGACTGTGTTTTCCGATGTTTTCCAAACTGCTTCATGCAGAAAATGATTTTGGCAAGTAGCATTTTGGGGTGCGCAGTTGTTTTCTTTGGCGCGGAAAGAATTGGCCACGGACAAATACGTTTGACCGCAGCGAATTTTCCGTCCTGGTGAATGAAGAACATGATCGGGGGTCAGCCTGAGTGGATTTCCATTTTAGAAAATTGCGGGAAGCATGTATCCGGCTGGTGGAGTAGCGCCCGCCGTGGCCTGCAGCGTCGAGACCCTAGCCCTTGGTTTTGTAAGAGGCTCCCCCAAGAAAGGAACTGCAGGTAAACCTGTGCTGCTAGAATTTTTGATCCTCAAGTATAGGGTTCGAGGGGCTTTCAGGTTCTGCCTCGGGTCCTGAATTTTGGCGGGATTTAACTCCGCCAGGCCTTGTTTCCGGAATCAGCAACGGGTGTGTGTCCGGAAACGCAATGCGAAAACAGGAATTTTGCATGCAACTATTCGGATGTTTCGGACATTGGGTAGCCTGCTCCAAGTTACTTTGCCGACCCACTGGATGCAGCAGCTGAGGAGAAGCTGTGATACCAAAAAACGAGAAAATGATAATGATTCATCGCGGGCCCTTCTTAGCAACCCGGTCAATCCGAGGAGATGGAAGCCTGCGGAAATCTGCCGACACGACTTCCATTGAGGCCCTCACTGTTAACGGGTTGCACGTTCATCGACCCGGGCGTGAACCTTAAAACCAGACTGAATGCTCACCAAGGTAGGAATGAGTCAGGGGCGGCCCGTCGTGACGCCTTTAGATGCTGTGTGTTGGAGCGAGAGGTCAAAATGCAGCAGCGGCACTGCGTGATTGACCAGTGCAGAGAAGTCAAGTACCTCCACGGAAGGACGAGATTCTGGTGTTTCGCACGGCTTTGGCAGCCTGGGTTATATTCAACAGTCTGAATCTAGTTGTGCGCTTGCCAACTTTTAATCTACCGTGCATGAAATTCTGGTCACTTGTACATCAACTCCTCCTGCTGGAAGCCGTTGGCAGTCACCCACGACCCCTGCGCAGCTAAGACAGCTCACTATCGTGTTCTGCTGATCTGGAGCGGCGTTTAGGAGTTGTGGACAGTGCATTCCCAAGACTTGTTGTAAAGATTGCAGAGCTTGCGGTGGGGGCAGAGACGGCCTACAGAGCTCTGCCTAACAATGGAAATATGAAGATACTTTAGACACTTTCTGCAGGGTGCAGTTGTGTACGATGGCAGCATAAACCGTAGCTGGTGAACGTTCATCCAGGTCCGTCATCAGCTGCATCACTAGATCTACCCAACTACACTCAGGTGCTTGATTGCCAGTGACAAGCAGTAGCGTTGACTTGAGCTGGTTTGTTAAGCCGGTATTGACGCTGATGTCGTGATGTGGCGCATGTTGAATGCATGTTTGGTGTGTGCGCTGTATGCTGTATTTGAGTATGAGAGTAGAGTTTCAGAACATCAAGCTCGCAGTCTTCCAAGCACAAAGCTTCCGGTGTCAAGACTTGCTCTCCCGTCCTCGATGCTATTGAGCATCTCCATGCCAATGGCGTACCAGCCACACCCAATGAAGTGTGATCTCAGCAGAGCTAAAGCTCCATGATCTCCACGGCTACAAGCGCGCAGCCAATTTCCGCCATGCTATTGGTACATAGCATGTGGCATTACCAACACCCTCATGAGAGATGCTCATCAGTTGCGCATGCTTCTTCCAACTCCGATGCAATCCTCACTTGCAGCATATCCTGCCAGATGAACGATGCTTCCACATATTCTGGCCGAGGAGCAAAAGCAGGATCCACACCATGTTCCTCACAGAGGGCGGAGAGTCTGCAACGGACGTTTCGAACTGTACGCAGCTCAGCAAATGTCGCCTGAACCCAGTGTGACAGCTTGGGCCCTGGCATGATGAGTTTTTGGACAATGGAGAAATATTGCAGATTTATGAACCTGGACGAATGGAACGGGCTGCTGACTGCTGGGTAAGAACTGAATTCCTGCAAGCGGCGTTCGACAGACTACTCGTGCTATGGTCCCGGCTCGTCAAACTGGTGAAGGGCCTGCAAGACTGAGATGGAGTCCGAGAAGCCGGCGTAACGGAAACCAGCGGGGTGTGAAGGAAACCATGGGCAAAAAACACGTAACAGAAACTTCAGAAATCAACCGGGGACATGTAACCGAAACCAGACTGGGGCGTCACAGAAGGGTTCAACCTACTTTAGGCTTTAGAGCTTTTGGGTTTTGGGCTGTAGGGCCTAAAGGCTCAGGGTTTGGGTTTGAAGCTTGGGCTTCAGGGATTTTGATTTGAGGTTTCTGTTGCGGGACGTGTCTTGGTTGTCGATACCGGCTTCGCTAGTTTCCGCTACGCCCGCATCTGGTCTTCGCTTCACTTTTCCTGGTCTCTGTTGCGGTTGTTACATTGCCGAGGGCTTTGTTTCGAATCTGCTATGCGGTTGAGATGGTTTGGGGTTTAGTTTCTCGGCTTGATCCACAGTGTGAGCTATGAGGCCGGGGCCGTGAGCATGTGGAATTCAAGCAGTGGAAGAATCAGAAGTTATGCATACTACTTGTAAGCCAGCGCATCAAGGAAGCAATAGGTAGTGCTCATTCGCAGACCACCCCATTCTCTGCTTCTTCGAGAATGGAATGCATTCACCTCGCAAAGCTGCTCCCGGCCTCCTGAAACTTTCGCAGGCGCAGCAATCGCATAACCCTCATGATCCTGTGAGGAGCTGTCAACAGCAATTCAAACAGCAATGCAAGACGTGCTGACGGAAACGTCACTTTCTTCCATGTCGGCGTGTCAGCTATGACAAAGGTCGCAGGACAACTGCCAAGAAGCCGACTCGCCGGAAGCAAGTGCTTGTACAATGCGCTACGAGCAGAAGCGAGAAGAGTTTCTAGGTGGGCGGTCCTCATATATCGAACGGATTTGCCAATGCGCGCGAAGCCTGTACAAAGCCAAGCGGAATGTGAACACAAGAAGTTCCACGTCCAAATCAGGCAACGCAGCTCTGGTTGCTACAAGCAACGGGCCATGACTGGCCTGCTGGGTTCGGCCCCGTGTCGTCGAGCTGAGAACTTAGGGCTGTACCCAGCCTGGTTCGCAGCACAAGAATGCCGACTGGCCTGATGAATCATGAACTTGTTCAATCAAAACTGGGTATAGCCGGGGGCTCTGACATGATCCAATCAACCACGATGACGACGAGATCCGGGAGCATCCAAGTCCTGAATCAGGCAACCACATGTCGAGCCGGGAATGGTGTGATCTTCTGCAGCTGTTTGCACCTTGAGCTTGGCGTTAGGAAAGTCATGTAGGCACGTTGCAGTGCAACTTTGATGCACAGAACATTGCACTGCTCTCGCTTCCAAGGCCTGGCGTAGCGCCCCACCGTCTGGGCAGGGAGAGACGCATTGAAGCAGAACGATCAAAATGAAGCAACATATTCTATATCACATGCTCAGCACAGCCTCCACAATTTGATGCCATGAGCTTCCAATGAGCAGGCGCAGCACTAGACACAGGATGTTTAAAGTTTAAATGCCCCTACCATTCGACAAGCAGGTGTTGACGGCATGTTTCATGAAAGAGCCAAGGTTTTCTACAAACACAAGCATGCCTTGGACAATCGTGCTTCCACGACCCCATCCGGAGTGTCGTACCTGCCATGCGGCTCACATGGATTTTACCGCGTTCGCCCAAGCACATACAATGTATAGGCGGCGGTGTATCTGGATGGTTCGGTGAAATCATGGAGGCGACACCCCACGAAGAAGGATAGGCAAAAGTCAGCCGTCCAGAAAGAAGCCTCATGAACTAAGGATGCGCACATGGACAGGACTGTCCGCCGGCCAAAGCGATTGACATGCACAAAGGCTTGCCCCCCCCCGTCTTCATGCAGTCACACACATCCGAATTCCCAACTCCAAACTGCAAGGCAGGCGTGCCGCCGTTCCACATCCGATGATGTACTGGACTTTGCTACTCAAGCCAATGCCGGTCGCCTCACTGATTGGATTTACTAAGAAACGCTAACGTCGAAGGCAACCGAGCGGAGGTGTCAGTTTCCTAGTCGCAAGTACAACTGTGCCATTTGCTCGACATAGTAGCCATCTCAGCCGAGCCAACGACAGCAACAAAACGAGAGGGAACCTGTGTTCCTCATGTCTCACATGTCTCCTCATTAATCATTAGCATGTAGTTCCATTGTAGGCATCCATATCATCCATGGTGCAACCACAGAAGCGCATAGGGAAGCTTCACGCGACCCAAATGAAGCCAAGCCTGAAAGCCTAATCACGGACTTCAGGCATTGCCAGGTCCCGCGCCGCAACGAGATTCGGAATGATGAAGAGGTGCCTCAGAAAGAACACATGTTTGAGTCCCCAGACACGCTTGCTAGCAGGTGCAGAAGTCCCTTGGTCTGCCACTCGATGTTGAAGGCCGACAGTGGGAAGCTGACCTCAACGACTTGGCGACGTGGCCACACATCTCATGAAAGCGCGCCACGCTGCTCAGTTAGGATCACATCTTCGTGCCGATTTTTGCCAGATTCACACTTCGCCGATCGTCAAAATCTGTTACAGCCCTCAGCTTCCATTCAGAATACCCTGACCCTACTTCCTGCATGGCAACGGGCAGTCACCCACACTACCGGATATTTAGCGGGCCTCAACCGCTCCCACATCCAGGCAGGTGGACCGGGAAACACCAAAGATGAAGGTCCGCCACAATCCGCGAGTCTCACCGCCACAGAAAGACAGCCAGGTTGTAGGCAACGACTGAAGTTGAAAGCAGGCTCTCCACATGCCGGCAGGCATGCAGTGCCGGCAATGTGGAGATACATTTTCGAGCTGCAAAGACACAGGTTTCACTTCAATGGCAAGCAATGGCCAGACATGCGTATGTGACAAGCAAAAGCGCTTATTGAGCCCCCCCCAAGCCCAGGAATGCCCAGAATGTAGCATCTCGCGGGGCCTACGGGAGGGCCTAAGGCGGGGACGCAGTCGTAGAACAAGACGAGGAGAAAGAGAAGGTTCCAGAAGAGGAACTTGAAGCTGGAGGGCCTAGCAAGCAGTAGGGGAGATCTAAGGAGCAAACAGCACATTCGGAACGCAGGGCAGTTGCCTTAGGGAAAGCTCTCCTCGAATGCGCGAATCACAAGTGTAGCAAATTTGCTGTTTCCCTGCGCCTGATGACCCAGGAATTCGATGGTACGCTGGGAAGCGAAGTTTCACACCGAAGGAGCTGGGGCCCCTCAGACCTGAATCCATTGCAGCGACTCATCATCGCCAATCATAGCAGCACATCCAGCTGCGTCGTGAGGCTTTAACATCTTCAACAAGTTTTGCTCGGCAACTGCAAGCTGCGCGTGAAGATGCATGGAGCGATGACCATCAAAGGTCCAGGCCCATGCTGCTGTGCCTGCAGAGTGCGAGATGCTGCGAACCGTCAATTCTTCAACGCCGATGCTGCTCGCGCAGGCCACTTCTTGTCCGGTTGCAAACATTTTCGCCTAATTCTTCGTCAAATCCTATTTATGACCAACGGTGCCCACGTGTGCCCACGATGCTTGATGAGCAGATATGCGCAGGCCTTGACGAGCATCGACTTCTCCTTGGCCATGTCCCTGATCAAGTCCCCACCCTCGGAAAGATCCTGCGGTTAGGACAATCCTGTAGCTAAGCTTCTCTTGGGCACTCAGGCGACAACAACAACAACAACCCCTGTGCAGCAACTGCTTTCAGATTCATTTAGCTCCTTCCACACGGGCCAAACGTCGATGAGGGTGTTGCCGGTCTGGCACGCAATGCACAAGTCAGGCGTTTGGATTGCTGGTCAAATTACTTTTCGCATTTGGCCTCTGAGACAAGCTTCGGCTAAAATCAGGCCACGCGCGGAGCCGCTTTTTTCTGTCTGCGAATCGATATGTGTGCATTCTACATGAAACGGGGTCTGCTTGGGAGTTGTGCCTGGAGGCTTTGGAGTCTAGCTGCCTAGCTTCAGGGAACTGAATGCATTTTTGACCGAAGAGCTGAGGGTCTAGAACTTCGGGCTCCAGACTCCAGACCCCAAATCCCAAGTCAGACTCGACACTGGCCGCATTCATACACTCCCAGGACGTCTCCATCGCTTCCCAGGATGCAGCCAGGTCCAGGCGACGGCGCGCATAGAGCGCTCATAGCGCTGCCACGTCGCCCCTGAGCACTCGCAAGGTTTAGGAGTGTAGGCTTCAAGGATGTACAAGGCTTTACGGTCGCTTAGGGGTTGGGGGGGGTCGGTTATCTAGAGCTTGCCGCAAGACATCCCTCAAGCTTGAACGGTCCGCAGGATACCTCGCACTTCGCACACTTCTCAAGCTGAAACCCAAAAGAGGCAAATGGCCAGCAAATACACGAACTTGCGTTTATCCCCCCCGCTTTCAAATTCCATGAACTTGCAGGACACCCCGCCTCGTCCACGTCGTCGTCCTCTTCTGCCTCATCATCAGCCTCCGGGTCCTCTTTCGCAGCCCACCACACATCGCCGAGGCTGTCTGACAAGGCGTGAGAGAATGCTTGGAGGGGATGCTGGCTGAAAAAAGCAAAAGCTTGGGGTGGGAGAGCAGAGGAAGGCATTTGGCGACCTCCGGAACCCAAAATCTTGTTGGTACCTAGCCGGTGGCACGAAGTCCTTCGGGGGGGGTGGGGGGGGTTTGAATAGGACTTGGATTCGAGCTTCGGGGAATCCGAAGCACCCGAGACCTACACCCCCTGGTGGATACAAAGGAGGCTGAACCCGTCCGGCTTCGTACAAGTAAGCAAGTGCATCTTCTACCATGTCTGCGTGGGAAAATTGAACCTTGCTGGCCTCTGTTGTTACGGGCACAGGCACCAAGATCCAAAAACATTCACGGCTTGGGAAGTCAAACTTAACCATAGCACAAGCATCCACAAGCCCTACAAGGCCTGCGATCGAGGTCAAGTACGGCGCCAATCTGCGTGGCCCAGCGGGTAATGCAGAGAGCGGATAAGGAGCTCGCCCTCCCCCCGGGAAGCCTCAGTGTGTGTCCCGGGGTGTGAATTGCGGTTTAGGGAGGGCTTTGGGTTCGGGATTTGGGGGTTCGGAATCTCAGGCTAATATGAGGGTGCTTGCGCGGTTCAGGATTCGACCGGTGTTCGGGCATGATCATGGTAAAGCTTGACCCTAAATCCTCACGCTGCAGCCAGAGCCCCCAACAACGTCGTCAGAGATGCAAAAGAATGGCTCTGGAGGTTTTGGCTTTTATCGTGTTGCAGGGTGCAGGGCTCCGGGAATTCACTTGGAAGGATGAAGGTCATATCCAGATTGCCGCGGTTCTGCAACCTATACTCTTCTTGCTCTTCAAAAAAATCAAACTCTACTAAGCGTGCATAGACTTGCAATGCCAGGGGCCACATTGTGGCTTCGCCACCGGATGCCGTAAGTCGAGTGTGGCAGCGGCAACACGTGCCTCTCGGGGAGTAGGACCCAGTGTTCAGGGTTCAGGTCCGCAGTGAATTCAAGTTCAGCTTGCTTGTCTATCGATCGGTTGGGAGTTGGAGTGAATAAGATTGCAAAAGCTGTGATGGTGCACATAAGGTTGCAGGGTTCATGGCAGGTCTGAGACTGCTCAGCTACGAGTACTGCCACCGAGACTTGACCCCCCTCAACCCTACATTGAACCTTCCGTCCTCGATCTGGGACTCAGAAGCTTTGCTGAGCTCCGCGGCAGATGCCGGCCACCCCACTTGTGGCCTCGGAAAAGGGGAAGGTGTCTGCGTCAGGGCACTCTACTGCTGTAGGCGGGAACATGGCTAGTCACTCCTAAGGAATCCAAGCCGGAACGTGAGACCAGGACCACACTGAACCCACACGAACCCTACACAAGAATGCGGCTCGGCCGCTCAGTGGCCTTCACGCTGCAAGCAGCAGCAGAGAAGCCCTCCGAGAAGCCCTCCGAGCCATTCGAGCGTGGCCGAATCCGACTCGTTGGGCTGCGCATCGGGCTTCTCGGTTGAAGCGGCAGCCTTGGGATCAGCAGCACAATCGGCCGTGAGCTCGGCTCGCAGGGCCTGCTCCGACGCCTTCCAACGCTGGCCGGCTTTCTTGAGCTCGGCCGCTGCTTCGGCCCGACAAAGGCCCTGCTGGTCGCCGAATTCTCCGACGAGGTCGCGAGCCCCACCCTCCAGCAAGGTTGGGTTCAGCTCCAGAGCGGGCCCTCGACGGCGCATCGAAGCAACGTCGCTTGGAATGACTAATGAATCCGAATCAAACCCCATCGTTTCATACAAATCTTGCATCAGCGGACAAGGGATGGATTCATGATGCTTCACGTCGGAGACTGAAGTACACTTCTGCACCTGTGCTACGTGGAGCCCAAAACGAGCTGAGCCAGTGCTCAAGCATCATAAGTGGGGAGTGCCAGACATTGACCAAAGGGTTGATTGAGCACACGTTCACATCACTAGGTTGGCGGCGCGAACGTTGATTACATTCCCAACTTTGGTGGAAACTACAGAGAATACTGCAAAAACTTGTGTCTTCCACTACTCAAATTGCCTTGATGTGGCCACCTGGGACCCCTGAGACCCCCCTCAAAAAACCTTCCCTAGAGGGCACACTGCATGCTCTGGGCCGGCCCGGCTGCCGAGGCGGCGCGCGCAAGCGGTTACAATTACTTTCCGCGTTTGGCCTCTCTAGGCTAGTCAGGCCACGCAAGCTCACTAGACTCTGGAATACGAACCTAATGCAACTACACGGAACTACATACGCTCGGAGCCACTTTCTGTCTGCGAATCGATATGCGTGCATTCTGCATGAAACGAAGTCCGCTTGGGAGTTGCGCCTGGCGACTTTGGAGTCTAGCTGCCTAGCTTCAAGGATTTAGACGCATTTTTGACCGAAGAGCTGAGGGTCTAGGACTTCGGGCTCCAGACTCCAGACCCAAATCCCGCGTCAGACTCGACACTGGCATCATTCATACACTCACAGGACGTCTCCATCGCTTCCCAGGATGCAGCCAGGTCCAGGCGACGGCGCGCATAGAGCGCTCATAGCGCTGCCATGTCGCCCCTGAGCACTGGCAAGGTTTAGGAGTGTAGGCTTCAAGGATGTACAAGGCTTGTCGGTCGCTTAGGGGTTGGGGGGGGTCGGTTATCTAGAGCTTGCCGCAAGACATCCCTCAAGCTTGAACGGTCCGCAGGATACCTCGCACTTCGCACACTTCTCAAGCTGAAACCCAAAAGAGGCAAATGGCCAGCAAATACACGAACTTGCGTTTATCCCCCCCGCTTTCAAATTCCATGAACTTGCAGGACACCCCGCCTCGTCCACGTCGTCGTCCTCTTCTGCCTCATCATCAGCCTCCGGGTCCTCTTTCGCAGCCCACCACACATCGCCGAGGCTGTCTGACAAGGCGTGAGAGAATGCTTGGAGGGGATGCTGGCTGAAAAAAGCAAAAGCTTGGGGTGGGAGAGCAGAGGAAGGCATTTGGCGACCTCCGGAACCCAAAATCTTGTTGGTACCTAGCCGGTGGCACGAAGTCCTTCGGGGGGGGTGGGGGGGGGTTTGAATAGGACTTGGATTCGAGCTTCGGGGAATCCGAAGCACCCGAGACCTACACCCCCTGGTGGATACAAAGGAGGCTGAACCCGTCCGGCTTCGTACAAGTAAGCAAGTGCATCTTCTACCATGTCTGCGTGGGAAAATTGAACCTTGCTGGCCTCTGTTGTTACGGGCACAGGCACCAAGATCCAAAAACCTTCACGGCTTGGGAAGTCAAACTTAACCATAGCACAAGCATCCACAAGCCCTACAAGGCCTGCGATCGAGGTCAAGTACGGTGCCAATCTGCGTGGCCCAGCGGGTAATGCAGAGAGCGGATAAGCAGCTCGCCCTCCCCCCGGGAAGCCTCAGTGTGTGGCGCGGGGTGCGAATTGTGGTTTAGGGAGGGCTTTGGGTTCGGGATTTGGGGGTTCGGAATCTCAGGCTAAAAGGAGGGTGCTTGTGCGGTTCAGGATTCGACCGGTGTTCGGGCATGATCATGATGAAGTTTGACCCTAAATCCTCACGCTGCAGCCACAGCCCCCAACAACGTCGCCAGAGATGCAAAAGAATGGCTCTGGAGGTTTTGGCTTTTTTAGTGTTGCAGGGTTCAGGGCTCCGGGAATTCACTTGGAAGGATGAAGGTCATGTCCAAATTGCCGCGGTGCTGCAACCTGTAGTCTTCTTGCTCTTCAACAAATTCGAACCCCTGCCACAAACTCTACTAAGCGTGCATAGACTTGCAGTGCCAGGGGCCACATCGTGGCTTCGCCGCCGGGTGCCGTAAGCCGAGTGTGGCAGCGGCAACACGTGCCTCTCGGGGAGTAGTGAGTAGGACCCAATGTCCAGGGTTCAGGTCCGCAGTGAATTCAAGTGCAGCTTGCTTGTCTATCGATCGGTTGGGAGTTGGAGTGAATAAGATGCTTTGCAAGAGCTTTGATGGTGCACATAAGGTTGCAGGGTTCATGGTAGATCTGAGACTGCTCAGCTACGAGTACTGCACCGAGACTTGACCCCCCTCAACCCTACATTGAACCTTCCGTCCTCGATCTGGGACTCAGAAGCTTTGCTGAGCTCCGCGGCAGATGCCGGCCCCACTTGCGGCCTCGGAAAAGGGGAAGGTGTCTGCGTCAGGGCACTCTACTGCTGTAGGCGGAAACATGGCTAGTCACTCCTAAGGAATCCAAGCCGGAACGTGAGACCAGGCCCACACTGAACCCACACGAACCCCACACAAGAATGCGGCTCGGCCGCTCAGTGGCCTTCACGCTGCAAGCAGCAGCAGAGAAGCCCTCCGAACAGCCCTCCGAGCCATTCGAGCGTGGCCGAATCCGACTCGTTGGGCTGCGCATCGGGCTTCTCGGTTGAAGCAGCAGCCTCGGGATCAGCAGCACAATCGGCCGTGAGCTCGGCTCGCAGGGCCTGCTCCGACGCCTTCCAACGCTGGCCGGCTTTCTTGAGCTCGGCCGCTGCTTCGGCCCGACAAAGGCCCTGCTGGTCGCCGAATTCTCCGACGAGGTCGCGAGCCCCACCCTCCAGCAAGGTTGGGTTCAGCTCCAGAGCGGGCCCTCGACGGCGCATCGAAGCAACGTCGCTTGGAATGACTAATTAGTCCGAATCAAACCCCATCGTTTCATACAAATCTTGCATCAGCGGACAAGGGATGGATTCATGATGATTCGTGTCGGAGACTGAAGTACACTTCTGCAATCTTCTGCACCTGTGCTACGTGGAGCCCAAAACGAGCTGAGCCAGCGCGCATGCTCCAGGCTTTTCGCCCTTTGCTCAAGCATCGAAGTGGGGAGTGCCGGACATTGACCAAAGGGTTGATTGAGCACACGTTTACATCACTAGGTTGACGGTGCGAACGTTGATTACATTCCCAACTTTTGTGGAAACTACCAGAGAATACTGCAAAAACTTGTGTCTTCCACTACTCAACGTGCCTTGATGTGGGATCTCAGGCTGAAGGTGCTCTGGTCGAACGCCTCCCCATCCTCACAGAGAGCAGCAGCTAGATGTTCAGTGAAAGGCCGTTGAGCTTTAAAAAGACCCCAGCATTTGTTGCCCACACCATAACTGAGTGCATTCCATCTCTATTTGAACAGAGCGGGCTCACAAGCAAATAGTGCAACTTCCGCCAAGCTCAAAAACCTCTCAACGATGCACGGCAGAAATCATCAGATTCTACGACAGAACGCTGGGTGCTGGGAGCCTCGTGGCCACCATGGGATAGCTCCTTGGATGTACAGGCAGTGGGCCCACGACCAATACAAGCAGCTGTAACACAGCCAGCGCCATCAGCTGCTTCTCCGACTGAAAGGTTGACATGGTTTTACACACTTAGACGTCATGCAAAGGCGGGAATTCTGGTGCTTTATCAGGCTTTCACGATTCTCGACACAGGGTGGTGGAACAGTGTTCAAGCTGTTACTTACTAGCTGTCCGTCGAGCCACTGCAGTGCCAGTCCTCGATAGGCCGGTTCGACCTCGCTCCCAATGAATTTAACTCATTACTGCTCACATCGGGCCTCCAGTTCATTTTGGGAATTTGGGTGCCGTCAAGACTTCGGAGTTCAGCCTTGTCAGCGTGTGAACAACATGTCCTGCAGTGGACTTTGCACGTGGCTCTTGCATGTCTCGTCATGTCTTTCTCCCTCTGCCATGCCCTGGACCATCTGAGGCTCTGAGACGTCTCAATCCAAGGCTCATGCCAATCGTGACTGTGCGTGCAGGGGACCTCTCGATCCACATGCAGTGGAGGCTGGCATCAACATGTGCCCAAATGCCCCAACTGGGACCGAAGCTTTCTGCCGACTGGCGAACCTCAGCTTAGCTTGCACTTCTCCAATCGGCACGCGCGTCCTGTCTTGCTGTCGCAGACCGAATTGCCAAGACTCACGCTGCTGCCATCTTTCGGCAACTCGAAGCCCGCAGCATTGACCTCTCACGCAGGGAACGTGGTTGGTGCCAAGTCTGCTATGTCATGCTATGTCCCAGTACGGTGGAAAAGTGGTGGGCAGTAGTTGAACATAGCGGAACACGGAAAAGCCAAGCAAGAGTTGTTCCCTTCCTAACAACCCCCTCCCCCGCTCCCGGAGGGGGGACAACAACAACAGGAATGGGCGGGGGGGGGGGGGGAGAGCGGGAGCCAGCAACAACAACAGGGTAAGGGGTTGGGGGGGGGGGGGGGAAGGGTGTTGTTCGAACAAGAACTAAAGGGGGTGAACAAAGAACAACCCTCCCCTGCCATACTTATGCAAAGAGCATGACATGCAGGTCGCAGGCTTTCGGCCTTACACTTCAGCTCGTGCACTGCCATGCGATGGTCAGCGCAAAGCTGCCTCGGCGGTCAGGTCCCTAGGTTCCCCATGTCTCCCCTCCTGCCAGACGGCCTCAGTTCCTTATTTCAACACTCTCTCTTCAAACGGTTGTGTTAATGACGCTCTGCCCATTGGGCGCCAGGCTTGTGCAGGTCTGCCAGCAAATGCTGGACTTGCTGTGCCACCTTACGCACAGCTCTTGAAGTCTTTGTGAGACAGACCACGTCTGAATCCACCGAGAGGCCTTGAACGAACACATGCCTTCCAACTAGCCTGCCTTTGGAAAGACTTGCCTGAGATGGTGGCAGAGCTTAGCCGATCAGCCCAGAGATTGTCGATACCGTCCCAAGCCGCGAGATCATGGATGGAGCCTGGCTCAGCCAAACTGCGTCAAGTAGGGCCATGCAGGACCAGGGGAAGGCAGCATGCCTTCTTTGTCCGGTGGCTCATGATGACCATGATGACCTGGCATGACCTAAGAGGATAGCAATGCGACGGTATGCATGCGAAAGCTGCATCCTCAAAGCTGCTGGGCGCCGTGCCGCTGCAGGTCGCAAAGAGATCAAGCAAGCTATAGGCGCAAGCGTCTTATGGTCGAAGGCAATAACCTTTAAACTTTGAAAGTTAAGTCGCCGAAGCCCGTTGACTTTCGAAGTGGTTGAATGGATTTGAACGGCAGCTAAGGGCAAGTGGAGTTGTATTGGCACCACTGATGCTTGATCTACCTCCTTCTCTTCTTCCACTACTTAGCATACCTGTTACCCTTTTAAGAAAAGAAACCGCCCCAAGGTGGTCACTCCCCCAAAACGACCGCGAGTTTCATGCGACCCCTTTAGGGCTCAGATTGCTCCCGGTACTCTGCAACAATCATGGCTTGCCATCAGAAAAACTAGACCTGAGGCTGAAATAGGCAGCGGAAAGAGGTGACCCAAAAAGCAAGATGCAGCTTCTAGCTGAAATCATTTAGCTAATCGGGTGGACAAGAACAAGGAGCCGCGGACATCGCACATAGAATGATCCGGCGCCCGATGTGCCCGATTGATAATTTCACAAGACCCGAAACCCATGACACGTGCCATCAACAACAGGCTGTGATGTGCTTGCTTTTCAAGCGAAACCCCCCGTTTGCGACGGCTGTGTTGCCAAAGTCGTTATGGGATGTTGTGGGCTTCCTTTGTGTCGGTGTAGGGTTGTAGGGTTGGGGGCAAGTAGTAGAGTTCATGACACTTTCTCAAACCCTTGACCTTCAACCCAAGCTTTGGTTGAGTCTTCAGGGTGTCAGGGTCTAGAACCGAAAAAGAAGGTACTGCAAAGTTGAGGCTTGAAGGCTGAGGCAGCAAGGTGGGATTTTTTAAAGCTGGTTTCCGTTTCGCATCAGTTCTGCCAAAACCTTCCCTCCCCCGCCTTCCCACCCCCCCACCGGAAAAAATTGGGATGCTCTTTTTTTATCATCAAATTTTGAAGGCAAGCTCGTGACCGTCCTTTAGGGTGGTCCGTGGTGCCCACTTTATGTTTCATTGTTTAAAAAAAGTATGGAGCTTACGATTTCAGATAGTCTAAGGTTTCCTTTCCCAGTCAACCCCCGCACGCCTGTATCTTGGCCTGGTGTAGAAGAACGGTTGGGGCACGGGGTATCGTCCCGGCCGCCAACTCGCCCAGTCAATTGTACGGGGCCGGATGTTCCGGTTTTCATGTTTCTTTCTCCGCCTTCTCTGCCGTTTGCATGCCGTTACCCAAGTTGTCTTTCAGACCCCGAACTGCCGGATGGTGCTTTGTCTGAGTAGGCTGTGGGAGCATTGGGCAGATGGGCTTGCCATCACTGTCGGCGATGGCATAATTGACGTGGCGGAAGACGGCGGCTGATGCATCGAGGGCACGCTTTTGTCAAAGCTGCTGCCGCTATCTGCGCAGCTGCCTCTCAGTATGGCATACCTCAACTCGACAAGAAACTCACAGAGGCAGAAGTAGGCCTGTGAAAGGTCGTTGGAAAGCTCATACAGCATGCAAAGCTCCTATGCCCACAAATGCACACATCACCGCTTCAAAATTTCAACTGGAGTTTGCTGCTTGCAGATTCGGGCTTAGGATGGCTTAGGACTTCCAGCTGCAGCCCAGGAACCTTTCTTTCCCATTCCACCTGCCAGAACGAGCCCCCAATCATCAGGCTGCCTAAGCTTTGAAACCCATAATCAATAACGTGCCACAAGGCAATTGTGCCGAGTGCCTTGGGCTAGCCTCTGCACATCTGAACTGTGGCAGTTCACTTGGGCAAAAACACATGCTTGTGTCACATGCCTCCCTCACCCTCTCACACATGACTTGAGTCACCTGCCTCTCCCAACCCCCTCGCTCATTCCGAAACCAGCGCAAAGGAAGGGCAAGAGAATCTGTCACAGCAGACCGCATCGAAAGCACGCCAGGATGGCCCTTGCCTTTGCCCCCTCAAGACACGGGAGGCTGTCAAGGCTTATCGAAGTGACATGAGACTTGGTTCTCTCCGAGTTTTTGCGGGACTCTCAAAACACTCACACATGACGTCTCTGTCATGAGCTGCACAGCTCTAGACTCTGGGTCACGCTCTGTCTGCTGACTATCGCGGCACCCACAACTCAGGCTCCCGACATCCTCCCTTCATGCCCTAGGCGAAAGCTATAGTTTGCACGATATCATATAGGGCATATAGGGCTACTGTTGCCGTGAATTGCAAGACTTCCCCAAAGAATGGCTGTGCCTTCTAGCGTCATCCTGCGCTTGCCAAGATCTCTGGGGAGCCGGCCATCATCTCCATCATGCCCCAGTCCATACCCCAATCGCCCCAGCCGCCCATCATCCAGTCGCCCATCATGCCCATGCCCATCTTAGCAGGCGAGCAGCTAGAAAAGCATGGAAGAGGCAAGCACATGGATTGCACATGGTGCTGGTTTCTGAGCTTGTGACCATTCCCTTCCCGCCCTTGCCAGCTCCTTTTCCCCTGACGACGCGGGTCTGGAAGCTTCACAACTATAGCTAAACCGTGCTATACTCAGGTTCTACGAGTACTTCACGGTCTTGCGTAACACGGTGCATCAGAACCACTGACATGTCGAGACTCGCATTCCACGCATTCCACCTCGCTCATGGTCGCTGGTCTCACTCTGCATGCTGAGGGCTGAGGGCTGTGCTTGGTAGGATTCGGCGGGTCTGGTCTAAACCTTGACGGTTTTTGCACTGGTGGATTCGTCAACATGCGCTGAGCACCAGGACTACATTGAGCACGAAGAATGTTTTTTCTTGGAGCCCTTTATGATCGGATTTGACACAGGGACACACGGCATGGCTCCGCAAGGTGGAACTAGAGAGAGAAAGTGCAAACGACAGTCAACATCAAACAGCACAGGCATTCTGGGGTAACGGTAACTCACTGCTTACCTGGTGGCTTACCTGGTGAATTTGCTTCAATGGGACCTTCTGGGATTCTTAGTCCATGGCATCTGCAAACGCAAGCGTCGTATCAATATGCATCAATCTTGACAGTGTATCATTATATCATACTATATCCACTGTTCTCAGTGACGTCATCGGCCCTGAGCAAGCGGCTTCATCAGGACCGACCGCTGTAACTCCAAGGCCTTAGAACTGATATCGAGGAGTTGCACAAACCGTGGCTGAGGACTGCTGGTGTGCAGCTCCAGTGCAGGTGAGCAAGTTGCAAGGCTTTCATACCTGAGGGTCCCACAACACGCGGGTACTTGCCTGGTGCTACTGGGTGCCTGTGCAGCGCTGAGGTCTCCATGCAAGCACCGTGCGAAAGCTGAAATGCAAAAAGCAGAGCGAGAACCGTGACTTGCTCTCAGCAATCCTGAAGAACTGAGGCTGACTCGGGTCATGTTGGGTCACAGTGGCCGTGTAAGCACGCCATCAGAGCGATTATGGTGGTAAGTATTGAACATGTTCACCGTGCGGACTTTCCCGAGACCATGGGCTGGGACACCGCGTGCTACCGAGTGAGTAGCAGTTTCATGGACTCAAGTTCAGTGTCTCACGAAGGCCGCAGCGGTGAAACAGATTACCGAGTCTCAAAAGGAGTATGGAAGCAGGGCGACGCCCCAACAAGACTTAGTCATGATTGTGCTCCCTCACCTTGAAGCGTGTGCGTAGCCAACATTGCAGCGACTCGTGCACAAGAGCGCAGCGAATAGGTATCGCCACTCAGCTGCAGCCAAGAAGCCCGAGGGGCACGGCGAAGTTCATAGCCCGCGGATAGGGCGGTGGCTGCTTGAGCTCGTTCTCCTGCAAGGCCCGTGGCGTCTTCAGCAGTGGTAACTCTGATAGGTCACTCTAATCCCACATCCTGCGATCACAGGCTTCATCTTAATCATGACTGGCCCAGGCCGCAAGGCACCGCATCATGCACCAGATCATGCACTGGATCATGCAGCGCATCATGCGGGGCGTCTAACACGACATACAACATCATTGTAACATCATTTTTTCAAATCGTTCAGCTGACATGCCATTTTGTGTTTAGGGTCATATATATATATATATGGGTAAGGTGCAAACTAGAATTCAATAGGCATGTGAGAACTGCGCGCACGCCTATGGGGGGACCTGTATACAGTATTTGTCCTGCAGCCACTCTCACGCTACTTTGGAATCGTACGCAACTGGGCCGTGTTTAAACTCCGGCGAGGCAGGGTGCACGACCGCGTGATGCTTTAAATGCTGGTGGGTAATTGTTGGTAATTACGTTGCACATTGAGCATGATTTGCACTTCTCATAATGGCTCCATATTGAATAAGAACACTGACATTGGGGCTGGCCGAGGTCCTCCCGCAGCTGCCTAAAGTAGCCTCGGCCCGTGCTGAGCTCAAAACAGACTCGAGGACCTGGTGGCTACAAAGAGGTGAGGTCTCAGCCATCGCGAAGGAGTTCCAGCCATCCTTAGCATCATGAGTGATGCAAAACATCTGTTCGATGTAAGCATCCTGATGTGACAATTCGATTCAAGCCCTCGGC